CTATAGCAGAGGCCCATGGTACCTTGTGTTCAACACAAGCAGTACTGGAAAACTACAAAACCAGGTATGTTTATTAAAGTACTTTTATAGTTATTTTCTTTTTAAAGTTTCCACCAGAAAAGGGGAAGAAAGTGTTTTGCTGTTATTTATCAGACAGGGACCCATGATGAAAGCCACAGTTGCAGACTGCTATGAGGGAATAACACAAGAGCAGGTAATAACAGCTCACAGACAGAAGTGATCGATAGGCTAGTTGAGAAAATGAATCACAGGTTCCAGGATGCCAGTGCAGGGATTCTGGATGCCACCAAGCTAGTCAGCTTCACCAACTGGCCACAGTCAGGAGAAGAAGAAGCAGGTTGGTTGTCCAGTCAGGTTGTGAATAAAAACGGCATGCTTAACTATTTTAATGCCTTCTTTTTACACCACTGTTCTAGATTGTGGTGATGCAGAACTGGAAACACGTGTGGACCACTTCAAGCCTGTCCTGGAGACCTCTGGTGTCCACGCTGAAAGCATTTCTGACCAGTGGACTGTAGGGGTGGGTGCAATTAATAGATGTGGCGATGCATCTAAAAGCTTAACATGTTGTTTCGGCATCGATTAATAAACGTTGATGCTTAAAAAAACATAACATCAAAGTTTTGTTGCAAAGCCAGTACTAAAAAAATAAAAACACGTAACCGGAGCCTTAACGCGCGCGCCGCCCGGACTGTTTAGTGAGTGGCACTACCTCTTTGACCTCTTTCTCCATCCTGGAGACTGTCTCCAAACTACCGAAGAACTCAGAGAAGGCGAGGAGCATTACAAAAGCAATAGCTACTTTTATCGCGACAGATCTACGCCCGTATTCAGTATTTAACAACAGGGGGCTTCGGTTAGTGGTGCGCACCATGGAGCCGTGCTATAAACTTCCTCACCGAAAACACTTTGCAGAAAAAGAAGTCCCCCGCCTCTACGAGGAAACCAAAGCAAGCGTTCTGGAGTCCATAAAGAAGGCAACCGCGATAGCGCTCACATGCGATGCGTGGACATCGGTTGCCACCAAATCCTTCGTTTTGTTCTCGCATCGGACAAAAACGGGTGGAAGTTGGTGAGTCACGTTCTTCAAGCTCAAGAGATGAGTGAGAGTCAAAGTAGCACAATGTTGACATTTGCCCATCTCACACAACAGGAGGATGTAGGGGGACAAGAGGGAGGACAGATGAGTATGAGTGTCACTCTGTTCTATTTTGTTGTGTTCGCCTCACTGTACTGACGCTCCAGGCTAGAGCCCTGCACTGAAGCCCTAGGCCATCGGGTCGGCCCGGCCCGAGGGCCAACGACTGTGTAATTACCTCGGACACGGGCCGGGCGCCTTTACTTTTAATCGAATTCATTTAAAAAAATTGAAACACAAACGCAGCAGTAGAGCCCTGCGCGGGACTGTTTTCTTCATCCCGCTCCTGCTTAATTTCTGACAATTACCGCCTGCAACCGCAACGTGTGTGTTACACTCCCGCCCGCACCTGCAGCGTGCATGTCTACTCCCGCCCGCAACCGCAAAACTCGGAGAAATTATTACCTCACAATAAAAGAGATGTATCGAGTTTGCGTCCTCTCTGGTCCTGGAGAAAACATGTCACAACCCGCGGCTCTTCCATCCATCTGATGCGGCTCTCTGTGCTTGTAAAATAATGAATGGATATTTAAATAAAATGCTTCATATTTTACTGAATTAATTTTATATCTGTAAGTCAATTCTATGTAAAGATTGTCTGCGTAAACCTGAACAGGTCCAACCCAGTCTTACTGTGAGACCGGGTTGACGGGTCACGCTTGTGCGTAATCATATGCGCTTCCTGAGCTGAAGAGATTCTGGGATTCTCCTCCTGGATGCGTCGCCACATTGGAGACAGGAACAAGCGCTATTCAGCCAAAGTTTCATAATAAGGGAACATTTTCTAAGTGATAAGTTTCTCTGAGAGACCGGGTTTGGAAAACACTCGCTTCAGTGGGAGGAACCTTCCCGCATGCGCTCTGGTTCTGCAACGCGCTCCAAGCCAATCTCCACAACTTCAGCTCGCTGTGCACATATGCGCTGACAGCGAGCTGCGCTGAGCAGCTTAGATGTTCAGATGGGAATCTTTTCTTGGGTGATTTAGCTACATCTGCGATGTGTGTAACGAATAAAATGTCAGTTCGTCTGCATGCGTCGGGGTAATTCTTTCTATTCTTTCTCCATCAAAATAAACCGTCTTATACGGGAACTATCCGGTCAACACAAGCCCTGCTTTTGACTATTCTGTTTTCTTGTGAAAATAGTTGGAAAGAGATAAAATTTAACTTGATTACCACCAGAGCCAGTGCGCCGTCATCTCCGTGACGGTAAACGAGGGAAAAACAAATTGATCGGATCCTGCACGTCTTTTAACACATTGGTCAGGATTGACGCACTTTGTTTTCATTTAGTTGGTTAAAAAAAAATCGGGCTTGGGCTCGGGCCGGGCCAGAGAATCGTGAAAACCTTTTCGGGCCGGGCCGGGCCGGACACGAGCTCAGATTTTAGGCCCGTGCAGGGCTCTACTCCAGGCTGAATATATGTTCAGTTGAATTATGCACTTTTGTTCTGAAAAAATGCAACATATTACCTTCAAATACAGTATAGCAGGTTTTTTCTGTTACCTATATTCCAGACTGAATAAGCTCAATTCTTTTATTTTGAGGAATGCACTTTTGATCTGCATGGCAGCTTTTTTGTAATGCTATCATATGCCAGACTCATTAAGTTTCCATTAAATAAATTTGATGGAAGTAAAACTCTTGTTTACTTGAATTAATTACCTCATTAAATCCAGGGCTCGCCTGTTTTCAGTGTTTCCCAATAATGGAGGCGACACTTGTGTAAGTAAAGCTTTCCCTGATCGAACTTAAGTGCAAATATTTACACGTCATACAGTCATAAAATAAGAATTTGTCTTTGAAAAATAGTTAAATGTTAAAAAAATGTACTTACTTACAGAGAGTAGTTTTAGAGGAACTGAATTAATTGATAGGTTATAGAAGAAGACAATCTTGTATGAAAAAGGCATTAAACAGACGCTTTCAGCATTCCTGCCCTGATTTGCTGGCATTGATCGACCTGGTGCTGTCCCTCCCTCCCTCAACTGCTGAGTGTGAAAGAGGCTTTGGCACCATGAAGCACGTTAAAAATGACTGGAGGTCCAATATGAGCCCTGACACACTTTCAGATATTCTCATGGTGCAGCTGTGCTCTCCAGAGATCAAGGACTATGACCCAAATGAGGCTGTAATGCTTTGGCACGAAGACGGTGTCAGAAGCAGGAGACCAGACTTCATGGACAGAGAAAACAAGGAGTCTGACTAGATTTCAGTGAAAGAGTTCATAAAAACATCTCTAAAAATAAACAGTAAAAAGACAAAAGAGTTGTTTTTCCGTATTAACTGATGTTTTAATTATTTTGTCACTCCTCTCTTTTTGGAATCAACATATATAGAATAACATGCTTTAGGTAGATCTAAATCATTTAGGATTTTGGCCGGTAAAAAATATGCTTGGCCGGTAGATTTTCATCATCTACCGGCCAACTTGGCCGGTGAGTCAAAAATTTTACTTCGGACCCTGTTTGCAGTTGCTCTCCACCAGCTAAAAAAAAAAAAAACCTAGGGCATGATGCCGGGTGACGGTGGCACAGGAGTTAAGTACTCGCCCCGTAATCGGAAGGTTGCAGGTTCGAGCCCCGCTCAGTCTGTCGCTGTTGTTGTGTCCTTGGGCAAGACACTTAACCCACGTTGTCTGCTGGTGGTGGTCGGAGGGACCGGTGGCACCAGTGCTCGGCAGCCTCGCCTCTGTCAGTGCGCCCCAGGGCAGCTGTGGCTACATCGTAGCTCATCCCCACCAGTGTGTGAATGTGTGTGTGTGAATGGGTGAATGCAGGGGCGCCGTAAAGCGGTGAAAGATTAGGAAGACACTAAGGGTCCACAGCTGTCAGGGGCCCAAAAAATTTCAAAGTTGAATAAAAAAAAAAGTTTAAAAATCACAAGTACTTTACTTTGCAGTATTTTTCCTCATTTAAGACATTAAACAAACAGTCTTTTAGTCTTTATGAAATGTATATTTATTCAGAGGTCCCTACATTATTTTGACTAATTAATTTGAACCCCCCCCCCCGGGGCCTAACTTGATATATTTTCATGGGGCCCAAAACTCTGGCAGCCCCCCTGGGTGAATGACTGATTGTGTTGTAAAGCGCCTTGAGGGGTTCCAGGACTCTAGAAGGTGCTATATCAAATACAGACCATTTACCATGATGAGAAACACCTGGTTCTCACCTGATCTACAATCTGGTTAAGTGAATTGATGTGTTCAGGGAGTTGTTCAGTACCGGAATAGGCCTGACCACAAGCTATGGATTGATCTGGCATTCATTCAAAGCCTGGATATTCCCAGTACATCCTGGAACACGAGTGGATCACCAGCATTCCAAAGTAGGTTGGAACATGCGGATATGGCTTGCTTACTACATCATAAACCAGCATTTCTCAGAACAAAGCATTTCTCCTTCGTCTTTTCAAGACGACTCATTTTCACAGAAAGCAGCTCAGACACAGCTCTTACCTTTTAGTCTGCTACATCTGACCAGACAAGCTGCCTTTATTCAACTACAACAAGGTAAAGGTGGCTTTACATTCTACTGCCCCTTTAATGTTTCCCTGTGTTTGTGCAGCACTGAAGTCTGCAGAGACCATCTGTACAGTCAAGATAGCTTCACAATATAGTTTTTTCAGTAAATCATATTTTTTGTGTGGTTGGTCACATTATAACTGAAATGCAACAGCAAACGCTCTCCATTGTGAACGTTTTCAAAAACATCAATTCAGTTCGGTTTATTTATACAGCTCCAAATCAGCTACAGTTCAGGTCATTAAGCTTATCAGTAGCGCACGCACACGCACACGCACACGCACACACACACACACACACACACACACACACACACCTGTATCCATGCTGTCCAGATCCAGATGGTGAAGTAAACACGATGAATCAGTCCCAGCTGATGGATGATCCTGAAGTGGGAGCAGGTTTTCTTTAGCCGTGTTTAGCTAACAGCTGCAATAGAAACAAAGCAGGAGAGCTGATTAAGATGCTGCTTCAGAACAACTCATGAGATTAAAGATCCAACGCTTTGGTTCTGATCAGCTGAGGACATATCCAGTCTGGAAAAGAGGACCTTTGGTCACCAGAGTTCACGGAGTAGAGCTAACCGCTCTTTCCTCCAGAGTCACATTCAGATTCGGGGCTTTTCCGTCGGAGAGTGTGAGCAGGATGGATCAGAGAGCGAGCAGCGATCCTGCATCATGACCAACTCAGATGAGCGAGTCTGATAGAGGGAACCTCTTCAATCTGATGAAAGCAGCTAAACGAGCGCGTTTCTCAGAGAGGCCAAAGGAACAGCAGCAGACCCAGAGGACAGGAAGTCTAGAGAAAAGCTTTTCTGACCCATCACCTGCTTTTGGAGCTCCGACTGTCAGGCAGACCGCAGAATATCTTCTCTGGTTCTGGAAAGAACTCGCACCAAGTTGTTGAGGAGGGGAAGAAAGTTTCCACAGCCTGGTGAAGGTTTGCAGCTGCTGCCTGCTACCACATGGGTAACAACGTGAGGTGCATTACCGCCACCTACCGGTCTGGAGGGTGAACAGCTCTCCCTTTCGAGGAGGAGGAGAAAGCTTCCACAGCCTGGTGAGATTTCAGCAGCAGCAGTTAGTCGCTTTAGCTGATTTAGTACACTCAGTTTGGTACATTTTTTGAATATATTAAATGACAGTTTTTTTAAATTTCCCTTTTAAGGTTATTCCATAATTTAACACAATTTACAGATATATTCTACTCCTTAATTTTAGTTCTAAATCTAGGTTTTGTAAACACATCAGTTTCTTTCAGCATGTAATTACTAGTTCTCTTTCCAAATATTCCCTGAATGTTTGTTGGCAGAGTTCCTAAATTGGCTTTATACATGGTGTGTAAGATTTTCCAGTCTTTTAAATCATGAAATTTCAGTAATTTATATTTAATAAACAACGGGTTTGATGGATCTCTACAGCTACTATAATTGATGCTTCTCAGAGCTCTTTTCTGTAAAACAAATAAGGGTTGTGTATAGTTTTTGTATGTTGCTCCCCAGATTTCTACACAATAAGTCAAGTATGGAACAATAAGTGAATTGTACAATGCCAACAAACCAGAATGAGTCAGTAAAAACTTGACTCTACAGGTGCTGGCCAGTAAATTAGAATATCATCAAAAGGTTGAAAATATTTCAGTAATTCCATTCAAAACGTGAAACTTGTACATTATATTCATGCAATGCACACAGACCAATGTATTTCCAATGTTCATTACGTTTAATTTTGATATTTATAGGTGACAACCAATGAAAACATCAAATCTGGTATCTCAGAAAATTAGAATATTCTAAAGGCCAATGAAAAAATGTTTGTTTCTCAAATGTTGGCCAACTGAAAAGAATGAACATGAAAAGAATGTGCATGTATAGCACTCAATACTTAGTCGGGGCTCCTTTTGCCTCAATAACTGCAGTAATGCGGCGTGGCATGGACTCGATCAGTCTGTGGCACTGCTCAGGTGTTATGAGAGCCCAGGTTGCTCTGATAGTCGTCTTCAGCTCCTCTGCATTGTTGGGTCTAGCGTATTGCATCCTCCGCTTCACAATACCCCATAGATTTTCTATGGGGTTAAGGTCAGGCGAGTTTGCTGGCCAATCAAGGACAGGGATACCATGGTCCTTGAACCAGGTGCTGGTGGTTTTGGCACTGTGTGCAGGTGCCAAGTCCTGTTGAAAGGTGAAGTCTGCATCCCCATAAAGTTGGTCAGCAGCAGGAAGCATGAAGTGCTCTAAAACTTCCTGGTAGACGGCTGCATTGACCCTGGACCTCAGGAAACAGAGTGGGCCAACACCGGCAGATGACATGGCACCCCACACCATCACTGACGGTGGAAACTTTACACTGGACCTCATGCAACGTGGATTCTGTGCTTCTCCGCTCTTCCTCCAGACTCTGGGTCCTTGATTTCCAAAGGAAATGCAGAACTTGCTTTCATCAGAAAACATAACTTTGGACCACTCAGCATCAGTCCAGTCCTTTTTGTCCTTGGCCCAGGCGAGACGCTTCTTGCGCTGTTTCTTGTTCAAGAGTGGCTTGACACACGGAATGCGACACCTGAATCCCATGTCTTTCATGAGTCTCCTCGTGGTGGTTCTTGAAGCGCTGACTCCAGCTGCAGTCCACTCTTTGTGGATCTCCCCCACATTTTTGAATGGGTTTGTCGTCACAATTCTCTGCAGGGTGCGGTTATCCCTAGAGCTTGTACACTTTTTTCTACCACATTTTTTCCGTCCCTTCGCCTGTCTGTTAATGTGCTTGGACACAGAGCTCTGCGAACAGCCAGCTTCTTTAGCAATCACCTTTTGTGTCTTGCCCTCCTTGTGCAAGGTGTCAATGATTGTCTTTTGGACAGCTGTTAAGTCAGAAGTCTTCCCCATGATTGTGGTGCCTTCAAAACAAGACTGAGGGACCTTTTAAAGGCCTTTGCAGGTGTTTTGAGTAAATCAGCTGATTAGAGTGGCAGCAGGTGTCTTCTATATTCAGCCTTTTCAGAATATTCTAATTTTTTGAGATACCAAATTTGGAGTTTTCATTAGTTGTCACTTATGAATATCAAATTTAAATGTAATGAACATTGGAAATACATTGGTCTGTGTGCATTGCATGAATATAATGTACAAGTTTCACGTTTTGAATGGAATTACTGAAATATTTTCAACCTTTTGATGATATTCTAATTTACTGGCCAGCACCTGTATGTAATACTCCCAAGGATTTGGCAATTTTACCTTTTATGTAACTAATATGGGATTTCCATGACAAGTCTTCATCAATAAGAACTCCAAGAAATTTAGTTTCTTTTACTCTTTGAATTTCAATCCCATCTATTTCCAATGACACATCACTGTTCTTTTTTATCATCAAACAGAATAAAATTTGTTTTCTTAAGATTCAGTGTCAATCTATTTATATCCAGTGTTGGGAACATTACTTTAAAAAAGTAATTAGTTATAGTTACTGATTACTTTGTCAAAAAAGTAACTCAGTTACTAACTGAGTTACAAGATCATAAAAGTAACTAATTACCAACAAAAGTAACTACTTAGTTACTTTTTTCATTAAAGAATGCAAGAATTACTACAATAGTAAAATATAAATGACTAATGACTGAACATAATAAAATGTATGTCCAAATGTTTTATATAAACCTGAATACAGGAGGAACTACTAATAGGAACATTACACTAATCTAGACTATTAAAAGGTCACTGTGTGATATTTAACAAGACCCCAATCAGCTAAAATTTAAAATTGCAAATAGAAACACCTGTAAAGGTTCCCGAGCCTTTAAATTGTCTCTCAGTCTAGTTATATTACAGAAATAAATGTAATGTTGTACAGCATTCTAATTTTTCCAGCTTCACATAATTGTGTGTTTTTAGTAGCATTTCTGTTGCTGGTAATCTAGTAACGGTTAAATAAATAAATAAAATCCTTTAAAATGACACTAGAAGAGGCACAAGCCTGATGGAGGACTTACATTTACTAACTTGGGTCAGACCCAAACACAGAAGAGCTGAAGCTGGGTGGTAAACACACACAGGTAGTTCTAATAACACCTGAGCTCCATGCCGTCTGAGACTGATGCATCAGTGTTACAGCGGGACTAAACACATGATCAGAAACAGGTTACAGCCGGATGATCTAGGAAGGCAGAAGATCAGGACGTCTGAGCGGTGAACAGGTGAGCGGACCTTCGGGACGTCCCGCTGTCACGCTAAGAAGGGCACTGCTGCAGATCCACAGATTCGCTGCTGCAGCAACAAATCTGCGGGGGTCTGCAGCTGTAGACTATTCATCACGTCTTCCTCGTTCTTCACGGGCCGTGATGCTCCTGATCAGCTGATGACAGCTTCAACACACCGCGCTGCTTAACGCACGCATTTTCTTATCAGTAACAGAAACGACGTTTTGATAAAAGAAGACGTAATTAATTAGTTTGCTCGTTACAGAAAGAAATATTTTTATTAACGCGGTTATTTTAAACGGAGTTATTCCCGTTGTGTCTACAGAATGCAGCGACTGAGACCGTGAGGGTCTCCGCCCACCCGGCCAATCATCATCGTGTTTTGCGTTACCGACACCTCTCTCTCCCTGGCTGCAGCTGAAGTGTGGCGGTCAGAAAGCCTCACACTGCTGCTCAACGTTCTACAAGCACATAGTAACGCACAACGTTCCGTCCCCAGTAACGATAACGGCGTTGCCAGTAACGATAACGGCGTTGCAACGGCGGGAAAAGTAATTAATTAGATTATTCCGTTACCTATAAAAGAACGCCGTTAGAAACGCCGTTATACTTAAACGGCGTTACTCCCAACACTGTTTATATCAAACCAGTTTTTAATTTTAATCAGTTCATCATTTATCACTTTAGCCACCTCCTCAATATTTGATCCTGAAGAAACCGTGTTGCATCATCTGCAAATAGAATGGTACCGAGTGTTTTAGATACATTTACCAAGTCGTTAATAAACAAAATGAACAGTTTTTGTCCGAGGACCGACCCTTGTGGCACTCCACAATTCATTTCACATAGTTTTGATTTATGGTCCTTTATCAAAACAAACTGTTTCATTTTTTCTAAATAAGTTTTAACCAATTGATGAGCCACACCTCTTATTCCATACTGACTTAAAGAGCGGGTCAAGTGTGCCTCGGAGTCCTTCTCCACCCACGTATCAATTTTAAAAAATGCAACATTAGTAGGCGTTGCCTGGAGGACCGAGAGGGCGGAGCCGCGGCAGTGACAAAGACGATGGCTACCTAGACGAAGCTAGCTCCCTTCACTCTGAGCAGTTATTAGAAGTGGAGGAGGTTTCTCCCCCTCCTTACCCAGACACTCGAGAAGAAAGGGACCAAGTCTATTTGGAGGAGACAAGCGGACCTGAGCCTTATTGTTTTGAGCTTGTGAGTTGCCTGAAACTAGCGGAACCGATCCAACAGAACCAGCTCTGAATGGTAAGTAGCCGTTAGCCATAGCATTGGATTAGCTGCAGGGTTTGGCTCCACGGCCCTAAAAAGCTAGTATTCAGCATGTTTTAGAGGTTTACCTGCTTCAACACACCTGGTTTTAATCAGCAACAAATAGCTGAGCTGCTTAACAGCTAATCTAACCTGTTAAAGCAGGAAAACCACTGAAACGTGCTGGATAGCAGGTCTCCAGGAGCCCTGGGCTCAAGTTACAGTCTGCTGCATAAAATTATGAAACTACCCCATGAGAAAATTATTCTGTAATGTGTTCAGCCCACTAAAACTGCCCTGATTTATTTATTTACTAATAACAGCTGCTCTCTTGGTTCTAGGTCCTCTGGTGTCTGCAGGTGGTCTCCTCTGCTGGTGTCGTCAGGATCAGGAGCTTCCAGAAGAATGTGCCTTTCAATGACTCTTTCCCCCTTATTTGTTATGTTAATTAAATAAATCTCAATTTATATATTTCCTGTTTTTGTTCATGTCCATAAATACTTAAACATGCTTCAAATTAAAACGAGCTTTTAACAGTGAGGTGCTAGTTTAATTCATCACAATAGAGCTAGTTAAACATGCAACAAAAATGTGATAATCAATGTAATTTATAAATATCCATTAAAATATCAAAACTGGAATCTATATGAGATATTTGGCAGCACAAAAAACTTGTCAAACACACTATTTATTATAATAATAGTAGGCAGACAGGAGACCGAGCTGATGGAGGTTCTCAGTCATCGAAGGATGGCTGAAGGCTTTCCAGGAACAGGAGATGTGGTGTTGTCTCTTCTCTCTCTATTCTGCCAGATGAGCTGATAGGTTACAGGTGTGTGAGGACATCCTCATGCTGTCACAACCAGATGACAGGAGTTATCAGGTGATCAGCCAGGCTAATGAGATGCAGAAAGAAAACAAATCCAGGACAGTGTACAATAATATGTGGTGTTGCTCACCTTATGTGCTCTTATAGAATATTAACGTGTGCCTGCCTCATGGTGTAGAGTCTATATTTTGCTGAGTGTCCTGCAATAATGCAGGTTATTAGTTAATTTACTTTTGATAGCAAAAACAAAATATTTAATGTAAAAGTTATTTACCAGGTGAATCAGCTCACACGTCACCACCAAGTGTCACAGGGCCAGAATCAGTAGCCTCCTTCATGATGTAATCACATACTTATTTAATTGTTAATATCTTAAAAATTCAGAAATGTTTTAATTTTTTTACCTTGAACAGTTCACTGAGCTTGCACTGTCACTGAGGTGGAAGCTGGAATCAACAGCAGACACCTTACATCTTGGTCTTTTGTGGGGTGTGGATGCTGCTCTGGGACTTTCTGGAAGATGAATTTCCATCATGGTCCCTGTGTCACCAGACACACAGCGGCTGTGAGCTCTATTCTGGCTGGCTATGTAAAAACAAAGAAGCAGCACATTTATAAATGTTTAAAAGAGCATAAAATCACGTGTAACAATAATCTGTAAAACAAATTAAAACTAGAAGGTAATAATAAAATGTTTACATAGAAGATTATTAAAAATAATTCACCTTTGCCACGGGTAAGGCTTCACGTCAGCCTGGACAAGTGCATTCTTGCAGCTAAATCAGTCTGACAGCCAGTGTTTTGGGTAGATTTAGCCTGAAAAAAAATAGAAGCACATTGTTGTTGGGAGTTTATAAAGTCAGATAATATACAAAAGAAACTGTCCTATAAAGGCGCTTTATAACATTCCTAGTGTGTGATCGTTATTATAACGTTAAAGTCAGTCACACATGATGTGGAGAGGCTGAAATGCGACCTCCTGAACAGAATTCCTTACAGAACACCGGGTCACAAGCTGGATTTCACGCTGTAATGCTGTCTGTCAACTAGTGCTGCGTCAGTTAGAGACACTGTTGCAGAATTGCCGACTGACTAGCTAAAGGAAGTGAACCACGTCTCTCAAACTTTGCATTTAGGTAGGGAATTGTCTTTAGAAGATGTTAAAACGTTTATTTAGCTTACTCACTTCAGACTGGAGCCCGCCGTGGTGGGGGAGCAGAGTCGGTGGGCTGCATCTAAATTGCGGAAGAGCCACGGTGGGCAAAGCCTCCCTCTTCAAACGGAGGCGTGCAGAATCGCGGGTAAAATGCCCACAGAGCCACCGCAACCATACTACACTACACCTACTCACCATACTAACACGATATGGAGCACTAAACCCAAACTACTTTCCCAATTACACTAACAGCCAAACACTAACTAAACTACAATATCCAACAGCCAAGCTAACACTAAATAAGTATTTATAACACTAAAAGATATGCTAAAGACTAGGATATGCTAATGCTATATGCTAATGCTGAACTACCGCTACCCTCCTACACTCACTTGCAAATCCAACTCCCAACTCGCCACAAGGCGTGGCCGAGACTCCCGATGCTTTTATAACTTTGACACAGAGCTGCTACGTAGTACTCTACTGGTTTACGTAGTATCTTACTCTTTAGCCATTGGCTAAAATTTTTTCAAAATGAGTCAAATTCTATGTTTTAAGCTGAAGGTGGCGCTATACTGTGGTATTTAGGCAGAATTTTTAATTTTTAAAGAAAATGCACCAAAATGCTAAAATAATGAATACACACATTTAAAACACTATTAGACACTCATTTATACAGTTCATCAGCAAAAAAAGTTAATTTAGACGTTACTTGCTCTTTAATTTTCAAAGTAACCTTGAGTGATCAATGACGTCAAAAGCTTTTTTCATATCAATGAAAACACTAATGAAGTAATTTTTATTGTCAATTGCTGTTGATATTTTATACGTTAATTCCATTATTGCCATTGCTGTGGAATGTTTAGTTCTAAACCCATATTGTTCATTGTTTAAAATATTATTTTTTCGATGAATTTATCCAACCTTGATACAAATAATTTTTCCAATTTTTTTAGAAAACTGTGGAAGCAGTTACACCGGCCTGTATTAACGTCTCATCAGCTTCTGATGTTTCAGCTGATCCACAGATCCAGAAGCTGTTGTTGAATGGGTTTTAATGAAACCCTTCTATGTTAATGATTACGTTCACCATCTGCCTCTGGTGGCCTCATCAAGCATTGCATGAAATGCTTATAATAATAAATAATCATCAAATTAGCACCTTACTTGTTCTGTTTGTTTCACAGAGCTACTTCAATGAAAAACAAAACAATAAAATAGTTTCTCCCAAAATATTTACAGAAACATTTTTTCTGCCCCTGAGGAAAAATTATGAATGTGGTTACAGGTCATAAAGTCAAAAGAAACATAGATTTGGTCAATTTTAGATGATGGAACATGATAAATGAAAAATATTTATTTCTTCCTGTCACAGTTTTTAATAAACTGCATTAATAAAAATAATATCATAAGAGAAGGAAAATAACTGGTGTTTACGTTAAGTTACTGCCTGTGGGAGTTATCACTAGTTATGTGTGGTCTAAAGCCACACTGAACACTCAGGCTGTTGCTGTCCATGCAGACTCGTGTCCACTAGGTGGCGGTAGTGCATCTTTACGTTGGTTGTACAGAAGAATAAGAACACCGAAAGCTGATAGCATAGTTAGCTTCTTGTTCTGGTGTGTGAGGTGAATATTTGAGGCTCTGCAGGAAAAGTGTCTTCACTTCAGTCTCTGGGAGAGTTGATCAGCTAAATCGACTAACTGCTGCAGAAATATTCTCACCAGGCTGTGGAAACTTTCTTCTCCTCAACAACTTGGTGCGAGTTCTTTCCAGAACCAGAGAAGATATTCTGCGGTCTTCGTGACAATCGGAGCTCCAAAAGCAGGTGATGGGTCAGAAAAGCTTTTCTCTAGACTTCCTGTCCTCTGGGTCTGCTTCTGTTCCTTTGGCCTCTCTGAGAAACGCACTCGTTTAGCTGCTTTCATCAGATTGAAGAGGTTCCCTCTATCAGACTCGCTCATCTGAGTTGGTCATGATGCAGGATCGCTGCTCGCTCTCTGATCCATCCTGCTCACACTCTCCGACGGAAAAGCCCCGAATCTGAATGTGACTCTGGAGGAAAAAGCGGTTAGCTCTACTCCGTGAACTCTGGTGACCAAAGGTCCTCTTTTCCAGACTGGATCTGTCCTCAGCTGATCAGAACCAAAGCGTTGGATCTTTAATCTCATGAGTTGTTCTGAAGCAGCATCTTAATCAGCTCTCCTGCTTTGTTTCTATTGCAGCTGTTAGCTAAACACGGCTAAAGAAAACCTGCTCCCACTTCAGGATCATCCATCAGCTGGGACTGATTCATCGTGTTTACTTCACCATCTGGATCTGGACAGCATGGATACAGGTGTGTGTGTGTGTGTGTGTGTGTGTGTGTGTGTGTGTGTGTGTGTGTGTGTGTGTGTGTGTGTGTGTGTGTGTTTGTGTGTGTGTGTGTGTGTGTGTGTGTGTGCGTGCGTGCGTGCTAGTAAGGGGGTAAAGGTCAGCACGATTCTAAGGGTCCACTGCTGTCTAGGGGCCCAAAAAAGTATCAAATGTGAATTAAAAGAAAAGCCTAAAAATCATAAGTACTTTACAGTATTTTTTCTAGTTTAAGACATTAAACAAATCTTTTAGTCTTAATGAAATGTATATTTATTCAGAGGTCTCTACTTTATTTGGACAAATAATTCGACTTAAAGTGATAACAGTGAACACAATAAAATATGAACTCTAGTGCTGATGATGGAGAACTACAGCTAAGATCCCGCAGGAGTCTGTGCTGCATGTTCCCTTTTATTTTTCCAGCACCCAGGAGTGATATTGCTAATTCTGTTGAAGGAAATTCACTGTTTAATGAGAGACGGCTGGTGAACATGTGTAAATAATTAAGATTGCATGTAGACATACGGTTACAACAGCTGCTGAGTTGTTCTTGATGGCTAAATAATGAATAAATGTGGAGTTTAAACTTTTTAAAATGACCTCTAGTTAGATTTACATTTTAATCTTTTTTGTATTTAATTGTAATTTGCAGCAAAAAGCATTTCATTCCACTGATGTTGCCCCCGATGTAAGCATTATTAATACGTATAATTGTATATCAGCTTTTATCTGGGATGGACCCATAAAATTAACATGGTCTTCTTTATGAATTTGTTCAAATAGCCTTAAACTATCTTACAGCTGATAACATAACACATATGTAAAATGAAATAATTTATTGGTGATAGAGCTGAAACAACTAATCGATTATTAAAATAGTTAACAACTTTTTTAGTCATCGATTAGTTGTTTAATAATCACATTTTACCACATAAAGTCTATTTTTACCACAATCTGACATCGGTTACAATCTGTTAAATTTGCCGCCAGTGTGTGGCAGTAATGAGCCACTGATCTACCAGTGGAGCCGTAGAAGAAGAAACGAGCCAATAAGTGCCCTCGGTTTTCATGACGTATCACGTTACTGACGCTCATCTTGCTGTGAGAGATGGCGGAACAAGAAGAAATACGGAAGAAAAATAGAAGCAACAAAACAAGAGAAACCCCGGACAAAAACCTCACGAGTATGGGGATCACTTCACTCTAGATGCCATGAAAAGACGGGTGACCTGCAAAATATGCAAAAACCATCTAGCATGGCACGGAAGCACGATGTCCCTAAGTGAACATTTGAGACAAAAACATGTGGGGAATGATGCAGCAGAGGAAGAGCCAGCCCGGTAAGTAACAGAAAATAAACAAGCTAAATATAGTGGTCCATCACTACACGCAGATCAAATTTGGGACTTAGTGTTTTAGCTGAGTTCGTTATAGTGGATGTTAAACATGTTTTTTTGCCGCGTCAGTCTACGGTGTTCTACTTCTGATTGACTAGATGCAATCGTGAATCTCCTCCATGTTGTGTATCATGCGCTTGCCAAATTTAGCACGTCTGTTTATAAGAATGTTCTCGTTAAGAGAAAAACGGCACAAACCCATAACTATGTTATTCATTCAGAAAAGGACAACTCCGCGGAGAAAAATATACAGACGAGCTGTGTCCAGGTGAATGTAACGCGGCATAGTTGTACGCTTTCAATTTTTAAATACAGGAGAAATTCAGAGTCATCTTTTTTTAATATTAAAAGGCTGTTTTACTGTCTAACGCTGTAAAACGCCTCACAACACATTTTTATCAAAATAAATGATCACTGTATATTGTTAATTAATTCAAATAATGTAATATTGATTTAGTGTTGTTGTGTGTGTGCTACTTTATTTTTTATGTGTACTTATTTCAGTCTATTTGTGTTTCTTATGCAGAAAAAAACAAGCAACGATGGACAACTACATGGGGAACAAGACACTCACCCCCCAGCAATGCATACCACTTACAAACTCTATTCTAGATTCTACATTATTTTTTATGGAATTTACCTCTTATATTTTGAGGCCAAAAAATTATTCTGGACTGAT